CCTAGTCACCTAGTCAGTTGATAGAGATGTACATAAGTTTGTATATTATGTTTGTTTTAATGACAATGTGTATTCGCGGTCAAACTATGAATTTATTCATTGATGGTGAACAGCTTAAACAGCGCAACCCACAAAATTGGTCTTTGCGTACTGTTTATCTGATCTGCTTCTCAATTGTGTACTTTAGCTAATGGAGGTAGAAGAATATAGCGGATAGAACATTTCAAGGATCCTTATTGGTCGAGCTTTCACCCCCATTACCGGTAGGACGTAAGAGGCGGGAGGGTGCCCCGCTATCCTTCTTCCTCCGTTAGCCAAAGTGACAAAATATGCTTAAACTACGTGGCTTAATCTGCAATGAAACATTCCTGCTGATCTGTGCTCGCTGTGCTACTTTCTTCTGTTTTGTATGTTAACATTTCACTGCTGTGCTATAAAGTGCATCAATAAAAAAAATCGCTGAGCTTTACTTCCAAGTACTATTTTCGTAATTCATAAAAAACAGTTCAACTTCGATGGTTCCAATTTTTTCACACCATAGAAAAACAATGTAGAACGCACAATTATCTTTTTGCTAAGAATAAACTTGTTCTTTCACATAATTTTTCGCCTGCACTGTCGTGGGATTAGACACAAAATGCGTTACGAAATCTGCCGCAACGAAATTGCAAATTTCGGCAAACGGAAGGTCACATCTCGCCTGATAGGTAGGCTACATCTTGCCTTTTGCGCATACGTGTACTGCGGGGTGGCCTACCCCGAGGATCGCAGGCGCCGAGCTCTCGTTATTTGCCAATATCGCGAATAATGAATCTCAGAAACGGTGCCAGGCAGTCAGCAATGAAATGTCAGACCAGTATCAAAACGACTGAAGACATCAGAAATTTGTCGGTTTTCGCATCAGATCGATAAAAATGTGGTCCTGAAATTGACAGGTTTCTGAAAGCTGATATCGTTCTGACATCTGTCTGAAATGTCATTGCTCACTGCTCTGTCAATGCAAATGTGTACATTTACATTGTACACGTTAAATAAAGTGGACATGGCATGTATGCTTTAATTAATGTGTACAAGCCTGTGTCACATTTACAAATGGGTAGATGGGTATGTACACATTATTTAAAGCAGACATGCCATGTGCTATTTATTTAAAGTGGACAATGTACACATTTGGATTGTCAGAGTAGGCAGTGCGAAATGAATTTTTTGTCGATGTCGAGATGATGTCGGCATGATATCGTAGGTCGAAATTGTGCACAGGTTTGAGTCGTTGACTTTATACTTGCGTTCAACCTGCCCAGAAACGTGACTGCCATGCCCGTACAAAGTGTTATTGTGGATCCTGAGATGAAAGCGCGACCTAAAATTTCACGGCACTGATAGCAATACTCTTTCTCCCCCACTACGAAGCACAAAGTACATGCGGTGTGGGTTAAAGGAACAAGTATATAAAAACAACTGAACGTCTATCTGGTGAAGCGCACACTGTCGAAACTCGCGCGCTACGACGAACGGAAATGAACTCACCGCTTGCTGGATGCCGCCCGAGTAGCCTCGCGCAGTGCCTCCACAGAACGCGCCACGAAAACTTTCCACGTAATCCACCACGCCGTGATCCAGACCTTCCAAAGCTTCGCCATTTTCGAGGACAGGGCTGGCAACTTTCAGTTGAGCGGTCATTGTAAGTTTTTCCTTTAATTTTACTTTCCTTCTAGTTAATTTCTATTCCTAGGAGTCCTTTGCCGACCCCTATGCAGGTGTGGTGGGTTTCATTCGGTCCAGTACGTTGCTAACCGTGGAAATCCTCGTAGGCTACTGCACCGCGTTACCCTTGGGTTGTGGCTTGGGTTGAGTTGGGCTTTTGGACGCCTGGCAATGCAGATGCAATGCGATACATGAATATGCAATCCTGAATTTATCTTGGTTTGTACATTTATTACCACAATCCCCTTCTCTCTTGAAAAAATGAACAGAAATTTGCTTTTATTTTGAAGCTCTTGTCGGTCATCTTCAATAGAGATATGAACCTGGGCTGAAGGTAGAATTTCAGACTTTCTTCGCCATTGCCTGAAAAGTTGCCTTACTTGTTAATAAAGTATTGCCATAATTTGAAAGCAGAAAGTATGTTGTTAACTTTTCTGCAGAAAGCTTTCTATTTGTAAACAGTTTGTTGTGACAGTTACATTGTTACATTTCAATGTATGTTGTGACCTGTGTGTAAGTTAACCTTCTTAAATACTGCAAGGATTTTCCCTCCAAACACACTTGAATTGTCCCTCGACCGGTCGCGACTGTTAGCCCAGTCGGAGTCGCTTTTTTCGATTCAAATTAAGACTTACCTGCAACATCATTTTAAAATCACTTTTCATGTTTCCTGACTAAAAGTTACTCCTTAACAATCAACATGCTTTGTGATAAATTATAGGGTTAAGTTTTGCTTAGGTTGAATAAGCCTCCTCCTCAAAATGTTCTATGAATAAACATAGGTGTTGTTTATATTATCATGAACTTTAAAGTGTATCACTTTCTATTTCAGGTTCTCTAGTTGGGCTCTGGTGCTCAATGCACCTCTGTAGCCATGACGGCTGACACAGAAAATAAGAGCATGCACTGCCTGCTGTGTAATAGCAGAGTTGGTGTGTCAACTAGGAACAGTTGTCCAATTTTCCAGCAAAATGTCACAACATCAGATCGAACTGTTGCTGCTACGCTTGGGCTTGTACTTAACCAGGAATTGACCGAAGAAACTGTACACAGTGATGTGGTCAGTACATTTCCAGTTCTATTAAATCCTTTTATTCAATAATATTTTTTCTTCTACTAGTATTGTTTATGGTTTGCTTTTCAGGTGTGCAAGAAATGCCTTAAGCTGTTGAATGAAGTAGACTCACTAGAGGAAAGACTAGCCGAATTACGCATGGAACTCTCCACTAATTATAATCGAACTTTAGCAAAACGTAATGGTGAAGAAGCTGAAGAAGATCTTGATAATGATGATGCTTTAGGTGAAGCTGGCTGGGCTCCTGATGACAGGGAATATAAGCCTCAAATTAAGCTACCTCTTGAAGATGGCAATGCTCAACCATCTGGCAGAGGCCGCAAGAAAACTATTGTCAAGCGGATAATCAAACTAGAACATGCAGATGGTGAACAAAAGGTATATTCACTTTACCTTATCATATAATTCTGTGATTGACTATTTTTCTGATCAATCTTCATTTATGTATAGGAGAATGAAGGAGAGGGAACCATTGTAGAGGAGTTTGAAATTGAGTATGATGCTGCTGACGTACCTGAGGGTGCAGAGGGTGCAAAGGAGGGAGAAGACGCAGAAAATTCAGGGGAGGGATCTGGAGTGGTACCCAAGGTATGTATGAAAGAACATTACATTTCCCAATTTTTATTGTTTGAGATAAATAATCAGTAATTTTTTAGACCGAGGATGGACAAGAACAACCAAAGAAAGTTTCTTACCCTCAAGTTAAGAGAAGAAGGAGAATGCCCAAGAAGCGAGGCCGTAAGCCAGCAATTAAAGTTAAACCCGAAGAGACAAGACTTGTTGAGGAAATGGTTGCTCGAGAAGACAATCAATATGTTTGCTTGGTTTGCACTGATCAAAAGGTATGAGTAATGATCAAATAACTGCATTGAGAATCAATTCTAGTTTTCCAGACTTAACATATTTGTTATTGACATTTGTTGAAACAGGTCATGGGTGATGACAAGACTATGACAGCTCACATGCGTGATGTTCATGAGTTCAGGCTGTATGTTTGTGACATTTGTGGTGCAGTATTTAGGAAGCGCACAGAAATGTCTCTTCATTTGGATGAACATGTGGCTAATGAGCAAGGTGATTTCCAGTGTGAAGTGTGCAATCGCATATTTAGCAACCTAAGACTTTTCCGTATACACAAAAGAATGCATTATCCATCCACCAAACTTCATACATGTGAAACATGTGGAAAGCGTTACAGGTGTGGACTCTATTACTTAATTAATTCAACATAGAATTTTGACTGGAGTGAGACTAATTTGACATTTACTTCTAGTTCTCGCAATTTACTGGAGGAGCATATTAATACCCACACTGGAGCAAGACCCTATGTATGCCAATGTGGTAAAAGTTTTGCCTCAAAGTACACTTACAAGGCTCACGTCAAGATCCATGAATCACGTCCACGCCCCTATGCATGCACTGAATGTGACAAAACATTCCTAACTTCCCAGAACCTTACTCAGCATCTCCGAACTCACTCAGAAGTTAAGAATTTCATATGTAAACAGTGTGGTATGTATATTATGTATATCTACTTATTTAATGATACATTAATTATTACTATTAGTAATCTGTTGTAACTCCTTATAACCTGACTGTTAAATTTCCATTAGGAAAAGGATTTGGGACTGCTCGTAATTTGGAGGTACATGCAATTGTCCATACTGGATTTAAGCCATTTATCTGCAGGATGTGTGGAAAAGCATTTGCTCGAAAGGCTGAAATTCGAGATCATGAACGAACACACACAGGAGAAAAACCTTACCAGTGTGAGTTCTGCGGTGCTACCTTCAGTCAACGTAGTAATTTGCAGTCTCACAAACGAGCTACGCATTATGATGACAAGCGTTACAAGTGTACTGAGTGCACCAAAGCATTCAAGAGACGAAGGCTTCTAGATTACCACATGAAAGCAGCTCATACTGGCGAGAGACCATACAAGTGCAACACCTGTGATGCCACTTTTGTGTATCCTGAGCACTTCAAAAAACATCGCCGTATTCATACTGGTGAAAAACCTTACCATTGTGAGGTATGTTGGGAGCAGATAATCATTAATTCTTCAATCTCACACTTAAACTTTTATAAAATTGCATTTTATTTGATTTTTTAAACTTTAAGGTGTGTGGAAAAGCATTCAACAGCCGTGACAATCGTAATGCTCATAGATTTGTGCACAGTGACAAGAAACCATATGAGTGTCTTGTATGTGGAATGGGCTTTATGCGGAAACCTCTCCTTTACAATCATATGCAATCTCAGGTATGGACTAAGTTAATCTGTTAACCCCGATCCTTGCCTTCAAATTTCAAAGCTAATGCATAATTATTACTCCTATCTAGGGTCATTTGAATGACACTATTGTTGTCAACCAGCCCAGACTGACAACAGAAGAAGACATTATGGCAGAAGGAACTGAGGAAATGGAAATGACAATTGTTGGTGAAGACGAGTTGCAAGGAGGACACCCTGTAAGAAAACACATTCCTGATTGTACTTTTTGTTCTTATATGCATAATCAACATTATTCATATCTATGCAAATTTCCTCTTAGGTTTACATTGCTGAACTGAAAGATCATGTTATTATTCAAGAGGGTGAAGATGGTTCTGAACGAATTGTGCTAAGAGATGGTCAGGATCTGAGAGAACTGACAGAACACCACATAGTAACTGAGGGTGGAGTTGGTCACCTGATTATTGATGGGCAGGCAAGTTCTTTTATAACCTGCACTCTCTGAATTATGTTTTTCTTGTAATATTTTTTTATGAATCATAGAGAGCTGAATATTTTATTTTCTATGCTTGCAGCAAGTCCAGTTTGCTGACGCCTCAGACCTTGCTGGAATTGAACATGTTGAAAACGAGGCTGGGGAAACTTTCACCATTGGTGGTCATCGCACTCTGGTGGTCCCAGCTACCCCACATATGGCAAACTATGCAGATGTTGTGGAACAAGATGGAGATGGAGAGGTGATAACTGCAACTATTCCTGAAGGAGAGGGGCAAACCATTGATGGGCAATCAGGACCTGTTCACCTTGTTCAAATCAAGATTCCAACTGGCAATGAGAAAGCTTGGTTAAATATTGTTCCATCTTCATAATATCTTTAATTTGGATGATAAGCTAAACCCTAGTTTGATTTTATTTTCTTTGATTTATGGCTTTCAACTTCTTTTAGTGTAAAAACACTTTGTAAATATTGGTAACAAATAATGTCTATCTTAAGTTTAAGAGCAACAATTTTGAAGAGTAATTATATCCTTAATTCACTCATAAGTTGTTGTTGGAGATTGGAATTGTTATCAACTCTTCCAGTTTATTTTTTGGTGTTTCTTAAACCCTGCTAACTATGGGTTAAGTTAGACCCAGCTCCGTAGACTGGACACGTTTTTCAGAAGTTTAATTTCCTTTTTCTGACACCCAAAGATAGGATCAAGTCAACAATGAATTGTAATTCATTCTGTTAACAATGCAGTTTTATCTATCTATTAATATTAAAATATACAGTAGTTAGGTGTATCTTTTATTTGCTTAAGTGTAGATGACATAGTTTTGGTGACTTCCTTGAATTGCTGCTGATTTTCTGTATCTGTTGGTAGTTTTTTTCTATTAGGGGCAAAAACAAGAGTTGCTCACCTATTTCTTACTTGTTTCTAGGTGAGTGTACTTGTCATTATGATATGTTGTGAGTTTTTATGAGGGAAATTGTGGATATTTTGAATGTTAAGTGGTCTCTGGTTGTCAACCTTCAAGAAAATGAATATATAGTTGAATTATTTTAAGAAACATTAAGGAACTTAGTGTATGGATTGTCAATATTTCAGTGAGCATTCTTTGGTAGTTATGTGATAATGTGCATGAACATTTGTGAAAACACAGATTACCGATGTCATTAATAGTGGACTCAAGTGAAATAATTATTCATTCGTGCTTTGTTGTCTCTAATTTTATTTAAGTGGATCAATTGTGCATGGAATTTTCTTTTAGTTTTCTAGGTTCACTGTATACATGTAAAGATTTTACTTAAGAATTTAAACACATAGTTTCCATCCAGCTTTCTCAGAAATAAATGCCTGCTCTAGATCCCAATCAATATGAAAACTGTAAGTGAAACAGCAGTGTACCTGAAATTTCAATTGTTACTGTACCAACTAATTTCTGGAAAAATACCTTGTTTTACGTTTTAAATGTCATTGCATTTTGCTTGTCTTGTCTCAAGTTAGGTTTAGTTGACTGCAGAGGTTCTTTTACTGCCTTTGGCTGGGAAACAGAACTCTGAACTTGACTCATTCTTTCATAGAGAGGCCGCAATTTGTGATGGTGGTTCCAACCATGTTCTGTACTCTTTCCCCCCATTTGGCATAGCAAGAAATAAAATCATACATAACTACAAATGATCTTTGCATTTCCCTTCATTTCCCCTTATTTTTAGGATTGGTCTATGCCATTTACTGGTTAGTTTAAACTTAAACGTTTTTAAGTTCAACAAAAAGTTCAAATAGAAAAGTCTACCTTCATTTATTTCATTACAATAAAACCATTTTAAAATTACATAGTAGTATTTAAAAATAAGAAGTCAAACAATTAAACCTAGAAGGATCACAGGCATGCTTAAATTAAAAACAAATATTAAGTCTGTTAAATGCAGACATGATCACATCAACAGTCGATCAAAGAATTAAGTAGTTTCAAATCACATATTCACATTAAGTTTTAATTTATAACACAGAGCTCGCAGTCCATACAAGGGATCTTCAAAAGCAAATGGTCGAGCCTCTTTCTTCATGCAGCCCCAGTTTGGGACAACTGAGGGAAGCATACCATTTTGAGAAGGATTCTTGCTCTTCCTGTTTTTGTACTTATTCAGTAAGAATAAAATAGTGCTCTTCAGTTTCTCATCAGTTGCAATAACCTGGAAAGTAAATGAAAATAAGGGCAACCACAAGAGCAGAGATTGATTGGTTTTTCAGCTGGGTAGTGATGGTGTAGGCTTACCTTGGCATTCATGGGACTTTGGCTGAAGTGCCACAACATTGTAATGAAGTACAAGAGAACTGTATCGTCAACTGAAATCCATTTCTTCATCAAATGTGGGTATAAGTTTAAATAAGATCCATCCTAATTAAAAGAACAACTCGATGTAGAATTAGTACACAGAACCACATAATTTAAGGAAATTGGAACATTGAGCAAGGAGGCTCATGACTAAACTCTCAGTCATGTAAAAATTTACCTGCCATACTGCCTCAAAAGTTTTATTATACTTGCACAACTGAACCAAAATTTTCGATGACAACCGTGCAACTTCCGAATCAGCTACGCCTCTATTTATGTTGCAGAGAATATTAAATAACTTGGAGACAGAGTCATTATAAACCATTTCTTCGCATAAAACAGGTGATATCATGCATATTGTGTCTGGAAAAACAAACAGTAAAGAAAAATCAGTGTGATCGAAATAAAGTAAAGAAACAATGGAAAATGGGAAGGTTTAAGTACTCACTCAATGCATTTAATGTGAACACTACACTTCCAACTGTTTCAGCAGCAAGTTCAATACAGAGTATCCCAATGCGTTCTTTCATATTCATACACTGAGATTCTGCAGAGTTCAATTCTTTATTAAGTTCTTTTAATCTATTAGTTTCTTCCTCAAATTTCTTGCGAGATTGATAACCACGCCAGTAGGCCTGAAGAAAAGATAAGTAAGCTGTCTTGAGTAAAGTAACAGGTTTTTTTAAGAAATAATTTTTTTAGACTCAGCACCTGAATTTTGAGAGCAGCAGCAGACTTTTCTTGAAGATTTTTTTGCTTTCTATACCAGTTCTTCCAAGTTTTCTGAATGAGTCTAGCAGAGGATTCATAGAGTTCAGTGCAGTGCAACTTCTGCTCCCTTAAAACTTGGCATCTTTTACGAGCCAAAAATCCTCTGGTGTATTTCTGATTAAACACATCAAACAGGATTAATGATTTGGGAACCTTGTAATATTGTTCGGAAAATGCTTCAAAAACGTAATGCTTTAGAGTTACATTCATAGAATACTGTACCTGCACCGTAATCGTAGCCCTTCTTAGAGATTGGTATTGTTCCTTCTCTTGCATCATTAATTTGTGGCTTCTCCATACATTTTGGATAAGCTTTGTCGAAGCCAGCATAATTATATAATTCTGACGTTCCTTTCTTCCATGGAGAATTGCACGCCAATGCCTTTGTAAAACTACAGCAGCAGAACGGATTTTGAGGAATTCATAAGAGAGCTGTCTGGTTATCTGAATGGTTCTCCAACGTTTCTGAACCAAAATCACAGCATTGCACATTTCTAGAAATCTTTCTCGATCCAGAGCCATAGACCTCTGAGCTCTCCATCTCCGCTGAATAATTATGGTGGCATTCCGCAGCTGACAATACCTGTCGGGATGAATTGATGATTAATTCAAAGGACATTACTAATCAACAGCATACAGAAATCACTCACAAGAATCAAAGTATCATACCATTCTTTTTGCTCTTGCGCCAACCTGTTTGCACGGAACCGCCTCTGAATAATAACAGCAGCCAAGCGGAGTTGTAGGTAGTTTCTTTGCTCATTCTTCATGGCCCTATAAGCTCGGTACCTTATTTGAATGGTACAGGCAGCATGGTGCAAGGCAGTAAAACTTCCACGTTGAATTTTCATCAAACATTTAGCACGCCAGTGACTTTGAATTAAAATGGCTGCTCTCTTTAGACATAGGTAACTGGAAATAAATTAAAAAATAGATATATTTCAGAGAATACAAACCAGGTGTTAAATGGCCAATAAAATGCTAATTACCGATCACGATTGTGACGCATCATCTGTAAAGCTCTGAAGTGCCTCTGAATGGTCACAGCAGCCAAGCGGAGTTTTAGGAAGTTTCTATGATCATTCTTCATGGCCCTGTAAGCTCGGTACCTAATTTGAATGGTGCAAGCAGCATGGTGCATGGCAGTAAAACTTCCACGTTGAATTTTCATCAAACATTTAGCACGCCAGTGACTTTGAATTAAAATGGCTGCTCTCTTAAGACACAAATAGCTGAAAAAATTAAATGAAAGACTTTAAATAAGTAAACTGGGCGTTAAACAACTATATTAAAATGTTTAATTTCTGTACCTATCACGATCATGGCGCATCATCTGTAAAGCTCTGAAGTGTCTCTGAATGGTCACAGTTGCATGCTGGGTTTGAAGGTACCGCCTGCGATCAGTATTCATTGTCCGCTGGGCCCGGAACCTACTCTGAATGATACATGCAGCACTGCGCAGGGACAAAAATTCAGAGCGCTGTGTTTTCATGGCCAGTAGAGCACGCCAGTGGTGTTGGATAGTTAATGCAGCCTTTTGGACGGTCACATATCTGAAAAATGAATTGATTTTCCAACTCAGTAAATTTACAAACTGCAAATCCAAGGGGTGACGACAGTTATGGTGGATTTCCTCCTACCGCGCACGTTCTTGACGCATGGCCCTGTTGGCTCGGAAACGTCTCTGGACAAGAACAGCAGCTCGGCCGAGGCGCACGAAGTGCTCGCGCTCCACCCACATGGCTCGGATCGCGCGAAACTTGTTCTGGACGACACAGGCAGACTGCCGCAAAGCCAGGAAGTCCTCGCGGGCGACTCGCGACGCCTGGCGAGCACGCCACCGGCGCTGCACGATGAGGGCGGCATTCTCCAGCCGCGAGTGGAGGAGCTGGCGCTGGGCGGCCCGGGCGCGCACCTTGCGCTGGAGGGTGAGGGCGGCGGCGCGGAGCTCCAGGAAGCGGGCGCGGTCCCTCCGGCCGGCAGCCCAGGCGCGGACAGCTCGCTGCAGGGTGACAGCGGCCAGCCGCGTCGCGAGGAAGTCGGCGCGGGCCGTCTTGGCCTGCCAGCGGGCGCGCACGCGCTGCTGCACGAAGAGCGCGGCAGCGCGCAGGCGGAGGAAGCGCTGCCGCTGCAGGCGCGCGCGTAACCAACGCTGCACCGTGGTGGCCGCGGAGCGCTGCAACAGGTACGCGGCCCGCTGCGTCCTCATGGCGCGCTGCGCCCTCCAGCGGCTCTGGACCAGCATCGCGGCGCCGCGCGTGGCCTCGAAGCGATCCCGCTGCACCCGCATGGCCCGCTGCGCGCGCCAGCGGCGCTGCACCACCAGGACGGCGGCGCGCAGGGCCTGGAAGCGCGCCTTTTCGCGGCGCATGCCCTGCCAGGCGCGGACGCGCGCTTGAAGGAGGCGGCACGCGCCCACCTGCCGGCGGCGCTCCTCCTGCCAGCCGCGGGCCAGGGAGGCGGCCAGCTCCAACTGGCGGGCAGCACGGCGGCGGCGGAACCAAGTCTGGAGGCGGAGGGCCGCCGCCATCCGGCGGAGGTCGGCGAAGCGACGGCGAGTCAGCATGCCACGGCAGTGCGCCTGGGGGACATGAAGGGGGTCATGAGCATGAGCGGGAGCCCATCCGAAGCTCAAGAGCTCAACGTGAACAGAACTTACCTGAATCTTGACAGCGGCGGCGCGCTGCCGCAAGAAGTCGGCACGCAGGCGGCGGGTCTCGACGGCGCCGCGGTACCAGAGGGCGATGGAGGCGGCCGCCCCGCGCGCGCGACGCAGGGCCTCCTGGGCGGCGTGCCGGCGCCAGTGCTTCTGCAGGACGACGGCGGCCTGGAGGCGAGCCTCCTGCAGGCGGACGTGCTCCTCGCGGACGGCGGCGGCGCGCCGGCGGCCCAGGTAGCCGCGCCACGCGGCCTGCAGCACGATGGTCGCGGCCTGGCGGCGCTCGCGCTTCCGGACGCGGATGCGGCGGTCGATCTCCCGCGGCAGAGAGCAGCCGCGCCACCACCGCTGGATGGCCTCGGCGGCGGACACGAAGCGTGGGCCCTGGAACTTGTAAATGATCTGCCACAGCAGGGAGAGGGTCTTCTCGCGGTGGCCGTCCGCAATGTCCTTGGAAGTGATGCCACCGCCCAGCTCGTAGCCGGCGGCCTTCAGCGCACCCAGGGCCACGTCCACGTTGTGGACCTTCTGCAGGCGCGAGATGGCCGGGACCCGCAGGCGCTCATGCAGCGTGTGGTCACATAGAATCAACTCCATGACCCTCACCAGCCTGATTCCATCGCGCAGGTCCAATAGGTTCTTGACGGCGTATTCAAACTCGTCCAAGTATGTCTGCTTCACCGTCAGCTTGCAGCCCAGCGAGGACAGGTAGCGGTTCACATCACCGATGCCAGCTAGCAGGTCTCTGGCGAACGTCGCTACGACGTCGCGGCTGTCTTTGACTTTGGCGGTCCGGAGGAACAAGCAAGGGTCGTGGCCAATCAGCTTGCCCTCCTTGGCGCGGTCCAAGAAGAACACGATGAAGAGGAACTTCTTCAGGATGAACTTTTTCATTTCTTGTTGGAAGCCCGGGAGCTTGAGATGTGGCACGGTGGGGTGCGAGTAGGTGGCCACGATGTGGGCATCAGAGAGCAGGTTGTGGACGAGAAAGGCGGTCAACCCGATGTAGTCGTTGTTGGACTTGAGAGGCACTGTCCGGCCGTACACTGCTTCCAGCCCGATACGCAGCCACAGCGGGTTGTAGGCGAGGAGCAGCTCAAGGACCTGGTGCTGTAGCCCCACGTCCAGGTGTAAGTCTCTGTCGTCTCGGATGCACAGGACCTTCTGGTCCACACGCACTGATATCTTCTGCAGGACACTGCCAATATCTCTAGAGCGGATGAGGGTGAGGGCACCTTTCCTCAAAGTGTTCAAACGATTGTTTTGATCATACAGGTCAGAAGACACTTCTTCTCGGGACGGGGCAAAACTGACATCTTTGATACGACATGTTTTTTGCCAGAGGTCGCCAATATCAATCACTTGCTGATCAGAATTAGTTTCTAGTTCTGCAGGTGGTGTTAGCATGGCATTAAGCCACTTAATCATGTCAGTTTCTTGCCTAGCAATCCATGCACTGTCATTGTAGATAGCTTGGTTTAGGAAAGGGTCCGATGTTGTGGAAGCAGCAAAAGGATCAACATTTGTCACTTCAGACAAAATGTCATCCAAGTTGTGCAAAACTTCTGACTTAGCAGCCTGCATTTCAGCAATTCTCTTGGACCCACGAGGAATTTTGAACACAGGTTGATCTTTCTTAGAGAGTGAAAGTCTGGACTCTGGCAGTCTAGAAGATAATGAGGCCTTAGAACCCATAGGCCCAATACTAAGTCTTCTGTCTATTTTTTTATCATTTGGCTTTGAGATGCTTCCAATAGACTGTCTTCTTAAATTCACACCGACTGTCTTAGTTGAAACAATTTTAGGATCCACTTGAGATTTGAGATGTGGAAGAGGTTTCTTTAAGGTGGGAGAAACTCTAATTACGCGACGTCTGCGAGGAGACCTGTTCTGTGGTGCAGCTGCTACTGCTGCTGCTGCTTTTGGTCTAGTGAAGTTTGTCTTTTTCTTTAATTCGGAAGAGTTGTCTGTTTCATTGGTACCAGAAAATGACACTGTAAACGCTGTGCTCTTTGTGAAGGTGCGACACGGTGCTTGACTATCAACTGCACTGCCAAAAATATCCTCCTCTTGAATGGACAGCAAGGGAGACTTTGCACAGCGGAGGTGATCCTCAGCTCTAGGGGATTTTGATCGAAATAGGGAATCATCTGTTTTGGGGGATTTCCCATGGTTTTGGTGTTCATCCATCCTAGGTGAAAATACCATACCTAAATTAACAGAGCCATGTTTGGCTGCCTCGTCACACGAATCTTCATTTAAGCTACATGAGCCTCTTGAATGTTGTTCTTTGATGTATGTTTCTGTACTCAATCTGTCTTTTACATAAGTACCAGTGCTGAGCCGATCTTTAATGTAAGTACTGGTACTGAGACGATCATTTGAACATACCTCCAAACACTCAGGGATCTCCCCGTGAATTCCATCAACTGGCTGTGAAACATCTAGATCCAGTGCAAATAGCTCATCACCTTGTTTCTGTTGAGTGGAACCAGACATATAATCAAATAAATCTTTGCGAACCTTCAGTGAATCTGTAACCTCTTGCAGCGGTGAGGGAAATGCCTTCACACCAGTTGAACAGCGGCGAGGATCTTCAGACGGTAATGGAAGGTCAAACTTTATAGTGGAATTCATAAAAGAATCACGGACTTCAGGAACTGCCATTTCTTTGAAATTCTGCTTTCCACTGACATGTGTACCATAGACTGCATTAAAAGGAAATAAATTATTCTGAAGATTATCTGTTGGGCTCTCATGTGCTTCATCTAAACTGTCATAGAAATCATCTCTGGAATTTTCCATAGCTTCAAGGTGAATACCTCTAGGTAAACTTTCTGTTATTTGACCATTACATGAGCGAGCGCCAATGTCAAAGGTGGCTCTTCTTATTTCAGCTTGAGACAAATCCTCTTCCACTTCATCAATGGGTAAAATTGCTCTTGAATGAACACCAGCATCACCATCAACAAAATCAACACCTGGTTTTCCAAGAACTAATGGAGACATAACTAAGTCATCAATAGCACTGTTTCTCACTGGTCCTGTGTTAAAATTTGTGTTCAAAGGTGACAGCACAAAATCTTCAAATCTCCTGGATATGTCATGTTTAGACTTCTTCTCAATTTTCTCAAAGGGCAATGGTATGACTGGTGAATTTTCCTTGTTTTCAGGATTAACAAGAAATGTTTGCCTGCGGCATGGTGAAGAACTAGCTGTCCTAGGGAGAGATTTAGCAATCCGAACATGCTGTTGCACAACACACCTTGTAGTAGAAGGCTTTGGAGAAGAGGGTTTTGATGGCTTAGTTAAAACCAGCTTCTTTGCCAATACAGTAGGTTTAAAGGTAGACTTAGCTGGTGCTGGCTTCCTCACATTCTAGAAAAAACAATTAAAAGAAACATACAATAAAAATACCAATACTTCAACTCGAGTAAATGAAAGGTAAACAGAGGCATACCTTTTTGACATGCGGATTGAAGCTGCTGCTTATGATGACAATATCAGATTTGAATTTTGATGTGGTCCGGACAGGGATAGTATCTCGCCAACTCCCAGCTTCAGTAGGGACCCAGGTAATCAGAAGACTAGTCTCTTCGCCACCAGCCAAATCAAAGGAGGTAAAACTAAATTCAAATCCACGATCTTTGGCAGGCAGATTTAAAAGCTCACCCTAAACAAAATAAGACCAAGTATTACCCTTCTTGGACGATTTTATTTAAAAGGAATAAAAAGATAAAATGTTTTAAAGAACTAGACTAGAAATGAATGAAACATTTGTGAATGGGATAAAACAAAACTTACAGACAATTTGGTGGCTGAAGGATTGCGAATAACCAACAACCTCTTCGCTTCTGCATTAACTTTAACATTATCAAAGACAATTTTGGGCAATGGTTTAAAAGGAGCAAGGTACAGAATTTCACATCCATTCTCCTCATCTGCACTGACACTTTTCTTGAGGCGTTTGGGCGGGCTGATCTGTAAAACCGAAGCCGAAAGTAATGTGAGGAAACATGACTTCCCCTTCAATTCATGACATAAAGAATGCTCCAAATATTTACCTCAAACACTTGCGCCATGATTGCGCTGTTAAGAAACTTCGAAAATTAAAGAAACCATCGGCGAGTGCAATGTTTTTGACACCAGACTTCACACCCGCCGCAACGGTCACTGGCTGGTGGCCGAAATTTGAACCAAGCAGGCTGGGTAACATCCAAAGCACTGATGGTATGATATATATTTTCTTGTTTTGTTTTAAAACATCTCGAAAGAATATTAAAAGAACAGGACTTTTTTCATTTAAAAAAGGAATCTTTAGTTTAAGTGCAACACCGTACGAGAGACAACATTTATGTCATGCTTACAGATTCCTTTTTTTTTTTGCTTTAGTTGGCGTACTAGCCATCCAAAAACAAGTGACGGGTAGGAATCAGCGCCAGTTTTCAAAGAATATCGGACATCGGCACATGTTTTAGAGGATTTAAATAAACAAAATACTATTGATTTACGAAAATAAGTTTCATCTTTTTATTACATTATTTGGCTATCTACAAAGATGAGGGATCACATCACCACATTTAGCACTAACTTTAATAAGAGCATGCTGATCACCTCTGGTATCTCCAATGTTAACTATAGCAATTGGCTTGTGTAGATCAGCTGCTTGAAGAACAATTCTGTAAGCTGAAAAAACTGTCAGGGAGCTGCCAAGAACCAGAAGAGTGTCGCAGAGTTTCACTTCATTTCGGACTTCTTCAACTCTATCTTTGGGAACATTATCTCCAAAAAACACAATGTCTGGTTTCAGGAGACCTGCACATGATGGACATGAAGGTATGTTGAATCCTTCTACCTGATCCTGCCAAAACAATGAAAAGTTCTGATAGAAAATATAACCATATGAAAAAATGCCAGCAAAATTAATGTCAGAATATTTACTTGAGTCATTTCTACATCTCCATCAGGCCGCATCATTTGATCTATAATTTTCACATCAGGATTTAATTGGGCCAACAGATTCTGAAATGCATGCCTTTCTATTTTGAAGTCACAGCTGAGACACACAACTCGGAATGCTGATCCATGCAGTTCAATAACATTCTTCGTTTTTGCTTTTGTGTGTAAGCCATCAACATTTTGAGTTACTACACAACGAGCAATGCCAATGTCATTGACAAGTTTACATACGCTTAAGTGTGTTAGATTTGGACTAAAGGAAGAAAACCGAGGCCAGCCAACATAGTTCCTGGCCCAATATCTCTTCCGCACACCTTCTGACTTCAAGAAATCTCTATACTGTACAGGCCTGTTGGTACTTCTGGCATACAGACCAACTCCTTCAGAACGATAATCTGGTATGCCACTCTCCGTGGAAATGCCTGCACCAGTCAAAATTAAAATATTTCTGGATACTGAAATTAATCGATCAAGCTTATCAATGTCTTCTTCCTTGACAGGCAAATGTTTGGGCACAAATGATGTACTGCTCTGCTGTCTACCACTAATTTTATCAGTGATTAAGTCGAAATAACGAGGTGTCACTAACAATGCAGGGGCATCCCTTTTAAAGGGTCGAATGAACATGTTGTTTGTCAAAAACGTAGACTGAAGTTAAGCTGAGCTGATGCACAAATAAGCCAATAACTTTTCAGATCCACTATCATTACATAACCTAACTGTAAATGCAGAATGCAGACGACGCTGACGACGTTCAATCTGTGTTTACCAACTTAACATTTGAGCCCATCATCAAAATTACCGAAGAACCAGAGCCGGTATAAATACTTGGTTTTGTTTAGTCAAGTAGAAGATCTTCATAGTGTTGGTTTTCACAAGCTTTGGTCTTTATTTTAACTGAAATCTATTAAAAATTCCACCCACTGACGTTTGCCAGACTGATTTGTTTTCTTGTCAGTGTCCAGATTTAAGGTTATGGAATATGTAAGCTCTCTGATGTAGTTCGAAAATAGAAAAAAATATGATCTTAAATACGTACAAGGATCATTTATCACTTTTACCGCATCGAGCGTAGCGTCCTTATGTTGCTCAGAAGAAGGCAGTTCTTCTAAAGTATCTACAGATCTCAAAACCTGGGTAAGTTATCAGACAGCAGACAGAATGACAACAGGTTCCTAGGTGTTTCTGTGAAGATCAATATGAGCTCAATAATTTTACCTGTGAAATATTTACTTACATGCTTTTCTTTGTTATTTAAATGCTTTTCCACATAAGAGATTTTATTTTCAAAAGGATGACTTAAAGCTCACATCAGAAGTGAAGAGCAAAGTATAATCCTTATCAACTGACAATTTTCATAGTTTATTTAGATATAATCTATTAAAACCACTGATAAATTGAATTTATTGAAATTTCAGATTTATTTGATGCTTTCCAAAGATTAAACCATCATGGCAGTTTGGAATGATGGCTTTGACTTCCCCACAGAGCTCTGCAACAAACCACAAGCACTAGTTGGCATATCAGGCATTGATGTAGCAAAAAATGTTTCTGATCGTGAGGTTTGGGAAGCCCTGAGCAATAACAGAGCTACAAACAGAGCACTCATTAATTTTAAGTTGTTAGGACCCCAACATGGATTTCCTCCAATGAAACCCAAAGTACGTCTTACTGAATGTTCTTTCACCTTTAAACCGTAACATCTTGAAATTGAATCAAAACGCAATAATTAAATTGCAGAGAAATACATATGACTGGTACATTCCCAAAGGCATCTTGAAACGAAACTGGATTATCAAGCATCTTCAAGAGTTGCCTGCAGTTAATGTTTTATTCTTTCATCTGGATTGGGATGATCCAAATTTTGCAGCTAAGAAACTTGACTGTGCTAATAGGCTGCAAAGTATACGGTATTATTAATTTACAATAAGAGCTATGCTAGCTACAACTCTTAGCTGTTATCAAAATTATTTGTGGTTTTTTTCTCCTTTCTTTTTCAGTGGAGCCTTGAAGGGCAGACTAACACGGCTTGCCGTTGTTCTTATCCAGAGAACTGCTCCTGTGGCTGGAGAGGACCCTTCTGCTGCAGATAAGGCTAATGCCCTCTGTACAGCTTGTGAATTAAATCCTAAATGTTTGTTTGTTCTTCCACTAGGAGACCATCTTCAAGGATACATTTTGAGGTATGAAGATAAGTCTAGCAACAAAAGATACAGTGTGCAGAATACAGGATTCATCTCATCATCTTTTTCAGACTGGAGAAGGCTTTTTTGGAGCTAGCCCAAGGCTATTACCATCATGCTATTCGAGCAGTCAAGTCACACAGAGACCAACTGAATAAAACCACTCAGCAGTATCTCATGGTGCGGCACTTATTTAAAATAGGGTTTTTGTCAGAGCTGAAACAAGATTCTCACAATGCTCATAAGTAAGTCAAACTACCATTAATCACATAAAAAATTATCAATTTCTAATTCAAATTTGCAATAAATTCACCAACTAATTCACTTTTTCTGTTTAAATTTGAAAGGAGTTACGCTCAAGCCTATAGCCAGCTTTTGGATTTACGAGTTGCTGATACAAATGCTATGGAAGTAAAAACAGTTGCTGGGCTCATTAATTACAAAATATGTAGAATTCTTTTCTTTCAAAGCATGCCACGAGATGCTATTGCCCAATTTAGAGCACACTCTGAGGCATTTAAAAACCGTGAAGGCCACAAAGATCTTGTCTTTGAACACTATGGATGGTTAGCAAAACAGTATTGGGTATTTGGAGATTTATTTGATGAAGCAATAAAGCAGGGTGTTCAAGCAGTGCAGACACAGCATCCAGGATTTTACTATCAGCAAGCAGCACAATTTGCAATCCAGAGGAAGCAATCATGTGAACTGCTATGCCAAAATGTTACGACCTACCCAGAACCAGATCCACTCACTGGTGTGGACACATTAGAATTTTTTGGACAGAGACCTTGGCGACCTGGAAGTTTAAGTGTGGAACCAATTGATCCTAACCGAGAAAGGGACGGAATCCTAGCTTTACAGTTTAGGGAAAAAATTGGTGTGAACCACTCAAGCCTCATTATTACTTTATTTGGCATAGCCATTTCACAGTTTAAAGCTTTTCGCTGTCCACGGATGAGAAGACAGCTACTAGTGCAGATGGCAGAAGAATATTTTAGTGCTAAAGATTATGGGAAAGCACTCACTGTTTTGACTCACATGCTATGGGATTATCGGTCTGAGAAATGGTGGAGATTATTGTCTGCTATTCTACTGAGAGCATTGGGCTGTGCCTATTTAACTGCAGGACTCCAGGATTATGTGACATTGTCTCTTGAAGCTTTAGGAGATGCTGCTCAGCTCTCCCTTCAAGACAAGACAAGAATTTTTCAAAATCTCAATAAAATCTTGAAGAGGCAACTTCCTGATCCAGAACCAGGATTGTCAAACATTGATTTACCTCATGCTAAAGACTTGTGGACTGCAAGCTGTGCATCAGCAGATCCTCCATTTGTCACTGTGGATATGAGCAATGTCGCATCCTGTGTTGAAAGCAAGGCACGCTTCACAAGTACACAATCACATGTTGACAAACCTGTGTTGATTGAAGTGTTTGTTAAAAGTGCCTGCCCACACTCAATCAAGTTTTCAAAGTTACTGGTCACTGTAACAACGCCAAGCATGAGCACAGAACTTCCTGCATCAATTATGGGAGCCACTGAAGATGATCCCCTGTTATTTGAAACAAATACTGTTAAGGTATTTCTGTGTCAGTTTATTCCAGATCATCGAGATGTAGGAAGTGAAATTCAAATTACTTCTATTCTGTTACATATGGGCTCAGAAGGAGACCGAAATATTATTTTGAGATATTCTTGTGTGAGCAACGAATCTGGTGGAGCAGATGATGTCTGTCCTGAGCTGCAGCATTTTAGACCGACTCCAATCAAATCAATTAATTTTGACAGTATTCGTATTCAGTCAACTACTCATCTTGTACCACGGACTTCCCTACTTGATGTGTCTATTCAACACGACACTCCTGCTCTCCTTGGTGAATGGTACAAGGTGCATATCGAAATGCTGAACAACGAGCAATACAACATATCATCTCTGAGCCTTGATATAGCCCTGATTCCAAGTGTGGATGACCCACACCAGGAACTTACTACTCAGTTATGCAAGGATGTGTCAGGAGAATTGGTCTCTCTCCCAATGCAGTTGTTAATTGGTGATTTGGCTGTTAATTCTAAAAAAGAAGTTTGTTTTTATGTTAGAGCATTGCGGTTGAACACACGCAATCTTCTTATTAAGGTACAGTTTAAGTTACATGGTGTAATCTGAAGTTATTATAGATTGCTGAACTAATCATCTTTTTATGACAGGCAAAATACTTGATGCTTGATGCGGCATTGGGTAACAATGCAGAGTCTTGGAACGCAAGTGATAAAGTTGTTACTATATCAGTTGTAAAACCTTTTGATGTTTTGACCAAATTCGTATCTTTACAACTTGATCCTTTGACTAAAGGAGTTGCTCTTGAGCCTCTAATTGCCATGCCTCACACAGAGTGTCTATCACCATGGCCTATAGTTATTCATAACTCATCCTTTGAGCTGGTAAGATCACAACTAGTTGTGACTCAGTTTACATTTACATTCAGAGCAATGACTTTGTTATCCTTGTTTACAGGCACCAAATGTTAGTTTGGTTGATGAAACATTTATTTCTCAACTTCAAGGTTTGGAATTGCAAAAAGGAGAAATGGCTGCAGAAGCTAGTGTACTCACTGTAAGTCAACCAAGTGATCAGCCAGTTCATGTGGGAACATATCAATTGCAATGGAGCAGGTAAGCAGTCTACAGGAATAAAATAATTTTTCACTTTGAATTTTTTTTTTTTTAATTTATGATTTAAAATTATATTGTTTATAGAAAGGGTCAAGAGCATATGATCACAAGTAGCACAGTAACTTTACCGACTCTGAGAGTGGAAAATGCCCCCATTTATGTGGAAATGGTTCTTCCTGCTCATGGTTGGGTGAGAACACCAATGGCAGTGTCATATCGCATTCATAATCACACATCTCGCTTGATAGATGTTGATTTAAGTATGGAAGCAAGTGATGCCTTCATGTTTGCTGGTCATAAACAGGTAAACTCTGGTTATACAACAGTCTTCACGATTCTTTTCAAAATAATTCCCAAATAAGATATGCTATTATTTTTATTACAGCTACAACTGTGCCTATTACCAGAATCAGTTCGTACATTGGACTACAATTTGTATCCCCTCTTGTCTGGGTTGGTAGCTTTGCCTCGACTATGTCTCTCCCTAGTCAAAGAGGGCCAGTTAGAACTTCCACCCGCTGCTCTTGCAGAACTTCTCCAGCGTTGCTTACCGACTCATGTCTATGTTATGGTAATAAATTATAATTTTCTCAATCTTTCTCTGAATTGAATTGATAACTTATGTCCTGATCCGTTTGTTACAGCCGCAAGCAAAAGGAAAATCTTCAAACTCTCAAATACCAGTACCATCATAAAGATATTACCAAACTACTGCCTAATAGTGAACAATAAAAACTGTTAAAAGAAAATATTTTGGAGGAATATGAATGTAACTTTGTGATGAGGCAAAAATCATCACAAAAATTTACTCCAAAAAATATGAATTATATCATTTTGTTACTAGTATAGCTGTTATGATTTTAAAACACACATTTTCCCATTTATTTAAAAAGAAACAATATTTAGGAATTTCTACAGAAGAGAAACAAGAGACGTAAGTGCCACACAAATCAATTAAATTTGGCTCTTAGAGCAAATTTTTAATCAATTTCTTCATTCAAAACATCAGTTTAGTCCATACAATGGCTAAATAGTAAAAAAGAGAGGACAGAGCAAGCAAGCAGTAAAATTGTCACTATTTCCTAGACACAATGGAATCATAAAATAGTGTTAGAATAATGGGCAAAAGAACCCAAAAAAGACAAATAGAATTGAAAAAGAGGTAATTATTTTGTACTACCTAAAGAGGAACAATCAATCCCCGAGCATATCCACACTGAGGCAGTCCTCTCCAATGTTGCTAGGTGATGTTTCAAAATCTCCTGGGTCATTTGATTCACTAAGAAACAAAAACAAACAAAAAATAAATAAATAGAAAAATGGAAAAATTTAATGAATTAAATAAGGCTTCAATACCTGTCCAAGGAGGGTTCATTACTGAACATTTCTGTTGGTACTGTTGGTGGAGCTTTTTCTGGTAATAAACCTATGAATGATTGTCCACGAGCAGAGAGGTGCCGCTCAACCTCTTCAGGTGTCATATGACCATCTGGAGCCAAGGATGATGCAGCAGGTGAAATTGAAGGTATTGTTAGTGACCCATGGCCAAGCTGAAACAGAACACAAATATGCACTTGTAAACTTAAGAAATGCATGAACCTGACGGGATAACCAATGAATAACAGCAGCTTACATTAGATGCATTTTGTTTTGTCATTCTCATTGTTGGTTTCTTTTTCTTAGCTGGTGCAGGGTTCTTTTGGGTGGTTGAGGTACTGGCTGAATGTGTTTGCTGAGGTTGTGGATGGGAACTTGCTTCTAATTTTCTCCTAAAACATGATTTAAAAGTGTTATGAGCCTTTATATTTTAGAAACTATTTGTATGATAGAACTATTTAAAAATCGAACAAACCTTTTAATATCAGTTCTAGGAAGTTCAACTTCACCATCTGAGGATTCGGTGTCTTCACCACTCTCACTTGATGAAGAGATATCAACCTTTTCATATTGCAGAAGCCTGTCCAAAAGAAAACTTCTATCTCTGGCAATTTCCAGCAACTTTGCTCTAGAATTTCTAAGGTTCTCTTGATAGCATTCATTTTCCTGGAAAAGACGATGAGGTAAAATCAGATTCAACAGTAGATTTTCAGAGTAAGAAAGGCAAACAGAACTCAAAACTTACATAAATTAAGTACTTTAGTTTCCGTTTGAGGCGTTTATATTGTGCCTTATAGTCTACTATCTCATTTTGACTAATAACTTCATCCTCTTCTTCATCGTCGTCGTCATCATCATCATCATCTTCGTCATCTTGAGTATCTCTTGCATGCTGAGCTATGGATTGTTGATACCACCCCTGCATCATTTGAGATCTACCCTTCCCACTCATCTGAAACAAACATACCATCCTAACCTCAATTTCACTGTTCCTCCAAAAGAATACGGAAAATGGACATGACGACTCGAAATGAATGAAAAGAAAGACTAGAGTGATTACATTAAAATAATAAAGAAAGAATACTTTGCAGAGAACTCCAGGCAGTTGATAAATTTCAGACCCGAAGAAGATTTAGGTGCACGGTAGCTTTGTGCCGCTCAAGAGCAACGAATATTGTCTTCTATACTTTCTTGAAACCTTAGATAGGGTGGCTATGTTTCTCGAGCATATCGTGCAAAACAGAGAAATTCTGCAAATTTATGGTAAATCCTTTTTGTTTACGTTTTAAGAACACAACATAGGTACGTTATTCGCAGTTATATTCGGCGCCCTCTACTAAAGTTCTTACAACATTGCCGCCATTGCCGCCCTTTAAATCAAAGTTTGTTTGTGAATTTGCTTTGAGGGTTATGTGTATCTCAAGAGAGTTTTGTAAATTCTTCAACAAAAGTATACGGATTTGATCCATTGAGCACTTAAGTTTCCAATTTTATAGTATTCAATTTTACAATGCCAGAAATAGGGGAAAATGGTGACGGCTGGTCAGTTGACTGTTCATCAGATGAGGAAAATGGCTCTAGCAAGGTTAAAAACATTTCTTATTTTACACTTTGATATATTATGACCGGTGAAGAATAAAAATATTTCGTCAACGCATTTCTGTTTGTTAAGCTCTATTAGAGGTTTTAATATGCTTTTGCATTATTTTATTTTCTAACACTTGTGTGCTTGCAGATTGAGCACATACCTCCCCCAAGTGAAAGAGTACGCCTGTATGAAACTTTGGATAGTACAAATGGACCGCTTCCCATTCAATGGAACTGGCCCCATGGGAGAAGAGCACCATTGGATTCTTCAGGATTCATTGAGGAAGATGATGAAGAAGAGGAGTCAATAAAGTATGTGATAACGTAAAGTATTTATATCTACACCTCAATCAACTGAAAGCTAATTAGATATTCTCGTTATTTCAGAATTGAAGAGAAGTCTGACTTTGATTTTGATTTTGACGAGTCAGCAACTCCAATTTTAAGAAAAGGGAAAGCATCTGGACCTAAAGGAAGTGCTAAGAAGAAAACATCAAGCTTTTCAGGAATTCTGTCAAATATGAGAAGACACCGTCAGCAAGAACGCATGGAGAAAGAGCAGTCTACGACAGTGAGAACTAAACGTTAAAAAAATATTAATTCTGTTGATCCTTTTTTTGGTATAGCAATTTTAATTTAAAATTTTAAGCAATGACATGTGATAATATATTTAGAATTTATAGTTGAAGACTGAGATACATTTTAGCTGTGGACACAATTTAATCTG